GGATGGGAGACCACCAAAGAAGTCCAGGGTCACGACGCAGAGGCAGGTAAGGGCAAACCCCCTCCGGATATCTCTTGCCTTGGAAACCCTACGGGGGTCGCCATGAGTCGGCTGCGCCTGGAAGGCACTTTCCACCACCAATAGCACAAACACTGGTCGTTTGCCAAATATTTCATGTTTCTGCTTCATGAGAAATACCTGGAGTAGGGATTGATAGAATCCACGAGCAGGGCTCATTTCCTGCAGGAGCACACAGGAGCGGAGCTCCGGCAGTAAGGAGCTCAGGGGGCGGGCACATGCAACAAGCCCCGCCCCCTGCTCCCAGCAGCCCTCAGTCAGAGCAAGAAGCAGCCAGGTAAGCTGCAGAGCCCCCCCCCCGGTCCCAAAACAGTCCAGTGGCCCCATTAAGACCAAGTTTTATTCAGGTACCAGCTCTCCCTCCTCTGTGAGGACAGAATTGCATGTCCCCCCCCCAATAGCTAGCAATCCAAAACAGTCCAGTGGCGCCTGAGCGGTGGGTGTTGCCTTCTGGCACACTTCCGGTGATGTCAGGGGGTGCGGCATATGCAAATGAGTTATGCTAATGAGTTGTGCTAATGAGCTCCTGCACCTCTTTTTCTATGAAATGACCCCTGTCCACGAGGCATCTGATCCCAACGTCATATGAGGGCCCTCATGAGAGAGCCCGTTTGGTGTAGTGGTTAAGTGCACGGACTCTAATCTGGGAGAACCGGGTGTGATTCCCCACTCCTCCACATGCAGCTGCTGGTGTGACCTTGGGTCAGTCACAAGTTCTCTCAGAGCTGTTCTCTCAGGAACATTCCTCGAAAGAGCTCTCTCAACCCCACCTGCCTCACGGGGGTGTCTGTTGTGGGGAGGGGAAGGGAAAGGAGTTTGTAAGCCGCTCTGAGACACCTTCGGGTAATGAAGGGCCATGGGGCATGAATCCAGTCTTCTTCTTTTTCAAAGATAGGTGATGAATGCATAGTCTTTCTCTGACTGCTTTTGGGAAACAAGGTAAATATTGCATTTGCCCTTATGTAACACGTACAATTCTCCATTGTGTGGCATGACAACGTCCTCATGCCCCTTGTTTAGTTCTGTTTTTTGAGCTCTTTTAAAGACTTTCCACATCCAATTTGTGTCATAACGGAAGACGCCCGTCACGGGTTTGTCTGGTGATTCTAGTTTCTTCCTTCCGCCAAGTGTGTTCTTACGGGCTTCTTGATACACTCTCTTTCCCCTTCCTAGTCATGCGCTGGTGAGGGACTTCACGGAGAGAAAGCTTGCTTCTGGGGCTGGGATATGTAGAACACCTTTCCTGAGGATGCAGCCTGCCCCATTTTTCCTGCATGTGCCACAGCTGAAGAATACATCGCCGACCTCTTCCGCAATGATTTCTTTTGCGTCAGCCAGGACAATATTATCCTTTCCCTCGGGCCAGTTTCTGCAACGAATTCCCGCCCTGGGTTGTTTGTGATTTGTCTCCTTGCGATCGAGCGGTTCTTTTTCGGGGGGGGGGGGGCGAAGCCTCTGCCAAGGAAGGAAGCTCATTCTGGTCTCTCCTCGGCCTTGCCATCTGATCTCCTTGGAGAGCGGCCTCTGAGGTTCTGTTATCTTCACTCCCTTGGTTTTCCTTTCCGCAGCTGAATTTGTCCGTTCATTTGCCCTTAACATGTTGCCGTGCTAAATCTGGCTCTGGACTGGGCCGGAGGGCACGGAAGAGGGCAGACCATGTGATTCCAGGAGGCGGCTGCGGAGTGATCGCACGGCCGCACAACCTTCATTTCCACCCCGCTTCCTCAGCTGTTCCCAGTGTCACATGCATTTCCTGTCCTCTGAGTTTCATCTCATGCAGTTTGCTTAACAGCTACAGGATCGGGGCCCTTCGTGCAGTTTTCGGAGCACGTTCCACATCTCTTGGGCAGTGTTCCCTCTGAGCTGAGTGAGTGTGAGCTAGCTCAGTTTTTTTTAGCCTCCGACTCACACGTTTTTGTCTTAGCTCAGGAAGGAGGGCCCCAGAGCAGACTAATTTCATGCAGGAGCCAAATCGCTCGCTCACAACTTTAATGCCGGTAGAGGATGCCAGTCACAGCTACCGGCGAAACGTCAGGTCCTACAGTGCCAAGACCACGGCAAGACAACCCGGAAAATCTACAACAGCTAAGATGCAAAACTGTCTGGTTTTCGATGTCTCTAGTAATCCATTGATTTTGGAATGCTCAATGCCCAGCACACACGAAACTAACCTTTTACTGAATCAGGGTCCATCAGGGTCAGTATTGCCTACTCTGACTGGCAGCGACTCTCCAGGGTCTCAGGCAGAAAAGGGTCTTTCCTAATGTCTGCTCTTTTTAAGCTGGAATGTTGGGGAAGGAACCTGGGACCTTCTGCGTGCCGAACAGAGGCACTGCCCCAAATAATTCTGATTCCTCTTCCCCAAATCCTGCCTGCTCCCTTCACTAAAAAAAATTGTATTTCCCCCCAGTCCTGTTGAAATCTATTTTTCTTTGAATTAGGCCTGGGCTGAATTGTACTGTCGGGAAAACTGTGGTGTCTTTGTTTCTTTTCAGGTTCCTTCAAGGGAAATCATGATAATGTATTTAGAACAGAAGTATGAAGGATGTAAGAGCTTGTATACTTCAGGGACGGAGGGGGCAGTGCAGGATCCGTGTGGAGGAAGGAACTGATGTATTCATTTTAAAATGTTTACCTCACACCATTCTGTAAAGCTCAAGGCATCTTACAAACTACCTTAAAAGTGGGTTCATTAAAACAACAGTTAGACAGTGTTATCGATGCGATGAACATGAAATTAAACTCCGGAGCACGACGGAAGACCGGAGGGCCTGGCGTGACGTGGTCCATGGAGTCGTGAAGAGTCGGACTCAACTGTGTGACTGAACAACAACAATATCAACTATTTCAGAACAAATGCAGTACACCGCCACAAAATTAAAATTTCTGTACAAACAAGAAACCAGGGGTCAGGGGAAAACCGAAACAAGTTCACAGCGACCACAATCACAAATCAGCAACATAAGTCATGCAAAAGTGAGTCCCGGCTGGGCTTTCCCGAAAATAGCCAGTGTACGTTTTCCAGCAGCCACGGAGAAAGTTCAGAAGGCAAACTGCAGAAGGGAATCATCACGTTGTTGGAAGGGGCGATGTCACTCATGGTTGCACTGCATCATAGGCTTTGTAGTCTTTCAAACGCGTCCTTTGCAGGAAAGGGTTAATGCAATGGGAGAATACAGAAGGACTGGAACCAGGCAGTCAAAATAACATCCCTGTTTCACAAGGCAATCCACCCCAGCTGTTGCACCAGGCTATTTCCTCCGAGCCCCTCTTCGCAACTTGATACTGCAGACATGCAAATACTATGAGCTCATGGAAGTCCCCCTCTCTAAATGTGTTGAGCAAGGAGTTATTGGGAGGGGGTGCGTTCAGGGGGAAAGCAATGCATTCGTTGGCTGTGCTGTGACAAAAAGAACCAGACGCACAGCACCTTCCTTTTCTGTAGGAGACACTCTTTGTTGGGAAAGCCCTGCGCGGCTTCCTTGTGGGGAGAATGAATTTTGGAAGGGGAAACTTATTTGGAGGACATCTGGCTGCCCCCCTCAGACAAGCCCCCCAGTTTGGTGTCGTGGTGAAGTGCGCGGACTCTAATCTGGGAGAACCGGGTTTGATTCCCCACTCCTCCACATGCAGCTGCTGGATGACCTTGGGCAAGCCATAGTTCTATCAGTGTTGCCCTTGAAAAAGAGCAGTTTCTGTCAAGAGCTCTCTCAGCCCTGCCTACCTCACAGGCAATGCTCCCTCTAAGCGGTGGAGTCTCGTGAGCAAAAATTCTACTTTGTGAGCTCCTGGCATTAAAGTTGTGAGCGAGTGATTTGGCTGCCGCATAGATTAGTTTGCTCTGGAGTCCTCCTCTCTGAGCTAAGACAAAAATGTGTGAGCCGGAGGCTACAAAACTGTGCGCTAGCTCACACTAACTCAGCTTAGAGGGAACACTGCTCACAGGGGGTGTCTGTTGTGGGGAGGGGAAGGGAAAGGGAAAGGAGATTGTGACCCACTCTGAGACTCCGAGTGCAGGGCAGGGTATAAATCCGACCTCTTCTTCTCTCTCTAAAATAGCACAAGCCAATGCCACAGAGCTTCCAAAACTCCGGCAGGAGGGCTTCTCCCGGCTACCGTTTTGGTAGCACCAGGGAACCAGAAACAGTGGCCGAACGATTGCAGGGAACTGGCGGACCCAGCGAGCTGTGCTGTTTCCAAAGAGGCCTGCGGGGAGAGGAGGAAAGGATGAGGCCCTCGTCTGGCTCCCAGGTGGGAGGGGGCAGGTGAGCAGGTAGGACCGGAGGAGGCCACACCCCTAAAAGCATCGCCTGCCTGGAGCGTCTTCCTGTGTCATTCCTCGCATCCCAGGTTTACAGATAAAGGCCTGGTGCCTGTCAGTCATCTCAGCACCTGGGAGCTCATTGGCTGGAGTGCAGGAAGGCGGGAGCAGGTTTCCTTCCCAGAGAGCAACTGGGTAGAATCCTGCCTGCCATGCCTTTTTGCCAAAAAGGGATTTTTGTAACTTTGGGGAAGGGCCAGAGAGATCATCCCGGAGGGCCAATCCCAGCAGCACCACCTTCCCCTGTGATTTTGGTCCTGCTGCGCAGACTCACCTGGAGGCAAAACCCCACCTGAAACACAGTGTGGGACCTACTTTTAAGTAGACAAGCTCACGTGGCTGTAATCCTCTGCACATCTGGGAGACAGCCTTCCCCCCCCCCCAACACAGTGGGGCGGACTTTCCCAGTAGATGCGCAGAGAAGAGGGCAGAATAACAACGGGATCATGGCTGGATCGTGGCCCTTGCTGCAGGCAAAGAATCGGGTCTGCAGACTGGCCCTGTGCATGTTTACTCAGAAGTATGTCTTGAGTTCCCTGGGGCGGATGTGCTTTGGATTTAGTGTCCTAACGAAGAGCTTCTAACCCGCCCTGCCCAGTTCCTGGAAACTGAAGATAGACACTGCTGCTATTCTTCCCAGTCCAGATAGACTGCGCCTACTCAGGAAGGTAGGTTGGCTCTTGTTGTCTGGTCTCCACTGCCAACTCCAGTAGTCTGCTTCTCCTCTGCCAATCACTCTTCCACGGGTGAATGGGCTTTATTGGGTTAGGCTGCAGGCACAGAGCCAATGAGAAGCCGGTGCTGCTCCGCCTGGCCTGCTGCCCAGACCGAGCCTCCCAGCAAGCCGGCTTTCCCACGACTGTCGCAAAAGCGGTCTTGAAGCGGTCTGCGGAACTTCTGCATTCTGTAAAAACGGTTGCTGTATCCCAGCATCTGGGGGCAAGCATGCTACCTCCGGCTTTGCCCCAGGGAGAAAAAAAAATGCAGTTCCCGTCTGCCTCTAAGCCTGGAACCCCCAGGGACCCAATCCACCAGGCCTGTTCCCAAGTGCAGACTCTGTTGAGATGACCGGCAGCGGCAGGTAGAGCAGCAACGGTGCCCTCCTCCCTGGCTGTGCTTAGTTGCTTGCAGTTGTGTGTGTTTTTGTGTGTGAGTCCTGCTCCATTCTGGTAGCCAACTCCAGACTGGTCAATTCCTGGAGATGTGGGAGTGGGGCGTGAGGGAGGCAGAGTTTGGGGTGGGGAGGGACCTCAGGGGGGCAAAGGCCATAGAGTTCCCCCCTCCCCTCCAAAGCAGCCCCTTTCCCTGTCTCCTGGAGATCCCTTGTAACTCCGCCTCCAGGCCCCACCTGGAAGGTGGCAACCCCGGGCTCCATCGTGCTCTCCCGGCTCGAATTGCGCCAGGCTGGGATGCCTCCTCCCCTCCCCCGGGGCTCAGCACAGTTGCCACCCTCCAGGGGCGTCCTGGGGACCCCCACCCCCGGGGGAAAGGGCTGCTTTGGGGGGGGGGCTCTGCTCTCCTGCTCCCCCCCCGCGCGGGCCCCGCCCCCCGGTTCCCACGGCCGTCCCAGGCCCCTTGGGGGGGGGCGCTCCTCCCCCCCCTCCCCCTCCCCCGCCCGTCAGCTGTTGCCAAGCGGGCTCCG